TTTTAAAACTAATGATTATTTTAAATACTAGTATGCATAGAACATTTTCATATCTAAGAGTAAAAATACTGGCTGTCACTGATGCTTTGAACTACTGTGGATCCTTTGAATGTCTTGGAAAAAAAACCATGTAAATTCTTAGACTGTAATATCTCATCATACTATTTACACATAACCCAGCAAATCAATTGAGAAAATAATTTGGAGTTGTTGGTATTTCTGCGAAGACAAAGTGATGTGGGGAATTAGGCAAAGAAAGAGGAGTGACAAAGAATACAAAATCTGTGCTGTTACCTTTGTGTCTGTGCAGAAGGACTCCAGATGTTTACCTATGAGTATTTCTTGAAACTGCACAAATCCAAATAGACTGCTAATGGAAATACACATATAGTACCTTCTGGTGCACACATGGATTATTTAGAAAGTTTTTATTTATTTATCATGTTTGCTAAGAATATGCAGAGCAGTCTGGGCACAACACAGAAAATTTTATCTTATCAAGAAAAAAATAAATTAAATTAACAATCTATGCATCAATGTGGATTATTTAAAATGTCCCTTCTCTCTAAATTGCGATTCTTTTTATCTTTCCCATCATTTTACCTACCACTATCTTACCATTCTCAGATGAAGAAGCACTGTTTCTCCAAAAATCATGATTTCCTTGACTCCATTACTTCTTGCAACCCCTGTTCTTTGCTCCTCAATTATGTATCTTCAGCTCTTACTCTAAGAAATCCTCTTCCTTTTGCCTACAATTATCTTCATACTACTTTCTCTTGTAAAATGTTTCCTATTCCTTTTGCTTCCTGAAGCTATTATGCTTTTGTTCTGCTTTCACTTATTATCACAGTTCTGAAAGAAGTCTCCCACCGGTCCTTCACCACCTCTTCAGGCTTTAACTTGAAGCAAACGGAATATTGTACCCTGACACTTTCCTTACAGAGGTACTTCAGACTCAGCCCAGAGCTCTAAAGTACAAAGCTTAATAACCTTTCTCACCTCTCTGTTCTCAACCAGTTGGATGCATTCAACATTGCTGGTCTCCCACACTTTTTGAAATGTTTTCATCACTTGGCTCTCATAATATCCGACGTTTTTGGTGTTATTTTCAGTATTGGGATTCTGCTGCCTCTTTCCCAGAAGCTGAGTTCTTCCAGTCTCAGCTCTCTTTCCTACCTGTCTGCCCTCTTCCTCAGTGGACTCATCCAAACTTACTGTTATCTCCTTGTAGAGAAGACCCCAAATTGTTCTGAAGCCCAACTTACCTTCTCAATAATATCTCTCATTCTTCCTTTTCATTTCTACTGATAAACTTTTCCAATATTTCGAATTGATCCGACCACTTATATAATAAATGTTCAATATTTATTCGAGGCAAATTTAGAATAAACTCTACATTTCTTAACCTGGGAGTCTAGAGCCTCAATGATTCAGGCTTAAACTACATTTTAAACATATATTTTTTCTATAATCATTTTCCATACCTATCACAGGTTTCAACCCAATGTAAATTTTATGTTCTTAACATTCCTGCATTCAAAACTTTGGTCTTGTCATTCTCTTTTGCTGAAATATTCTTCCCACCTCTGAGTAAATGAAACTTCAGAGTTCATTGCCAATGGTATAGATTTCAAAAAAACCTTTTTTGATCTCCATAGAAGAAAGTGACCATTCTACCCTTGAAAACATCTATTTATTTTGACAACTGTGACATAGTACCATGAGGTTCATAGTATCTTACATCTGTTTGAGTACATGTCCATTTTCTCTACCTGACTGCCAATTGCGTTCAGGTAACATTATGTTTCTTTTTGTTTTTTTTTTCAAGGCACTTTGCTCATAGAAATAGAATAGTTTAGGTAAACCACAAGAGTCTAGAAGTTGAGGAAAATTAGCTTCCTATCTTCTAGCACTTTTAAAAATGTGTTGCTTAACCTTGGCTGGTTTGACTCAGCGGTTAGAGCATCGGCCTGTGGAACAGAGAGTCCCGGGTTCCGTTCCTGCTAGGGGCATGTACCCAAAACAAACAAACAAACAAACAAAAATACTTTGTTGCTTGAATAGAAATTATTTTTAAATTCTCTTAACCTCAATGTTTTCTTGTAATAGAGATTATTCTACCTATCTTATAAATTTATTGTGAGACGTCAGTAAAAACATATGTAAAATAGCTAAAGGGTACATGGCATAGAAAAACAGATCATTGTAACTATTATAGCTGAAAAGTAACTGTTTCTTAAATGAACAAATTATAGGAAAATTTCAAGATAATTTTCACATTGACTCTAAAACTAGAATTTGAGGAAGAGAATAATCTAAGGTTTTTGTTCTACCCATATTTATTTCCTAAGAGGTAACAGATCCAGAGAATAGGTGTCTTAGTTTTAAGTGTGCTATAATCTACAAAATAAAATGTATATTCCTTTTGTACAAGGACCTTGCATTATTTTTTAATTAATTTATTTTTGTTATAGATGTTTCTTCTTTTTCTCCCACTGATTCCCCCCTCCGCCTCCCTCCCCACCCTGTCCCCAGCTTTGTTGTCCATGTCCATTGTTCATGCATATATGCACTCTCTCTGCATATAAGTTCTGTGGTTTATCTCTCCCCACCACTCCCTCTTCTGAGGATTGTCAGTCTGTACCCCATTTCCACGTCTCTGGGACTACCTCATTCCTCAGACTGTTATGTTCATTAATTCCACAGATAAGTGAGATGGTATGATAGTTGTCTTCCTCTGTTTGGCTTCTTTTGCTTAGGGTAATACTTTTCAGGTCCCTTCATGTATCTCAAAGGAAAAGAGATCTTTCTTTCTTACAGCTGCATAGTACTCCATTGTGTAAATGTACCACTACTTTTTTATCAATTTGTCTATTGATGGACATTTGGGCTGTTTCCAGATTTTAGCTATTGTAAATAGTGCTGCTACAAACATGGGGGTACATATATTCTTTCTGATTGGTGTTTCAGGCTTCTTAGGGTATATTCCTAGAAGTGGGATCACTGGGTCAAATGCAGGTTCAATTTTTAATTTTCTGAGGTAACACCATATTGTTTTCCATAGTGGTTGTACCAATCTGCATTCCCACCAGCAGTGTACTAGAGTCCCCTTTTCTCCAAACCCTTGCAAACACTTCTGGTTTAATACTTTGTTGATGGCGGCCATTCTGACAGGTGTGAGGTGATATCTCATTGTTGTTTTAATTTGCATCTCTCTGATGATTAGTGATGCTGAGCATTTCTTCATATGTCTCTTAGTCATTTGTATGTCCTGTTTGGAGAGTTGTCTATTTAGTTCCTCTGCCCATTTTTTAATTGGATTCTTTGTCTTCCTTTTGTTGAGTTGTATGAGCACTCTATATATTGGAAATTAACCCCTTATCTGACAATTAACCCCTATCATTGGCAATTATGCTCTCCCATACAGTGGGTTGCCTTTCCATTTTGATGATTGTTTCTTTTGCTGTGCAGAAATTTTTGAGTTTGATTTAGTCCCATGTACTCATTTTCTCCTTTGTTTCTGTTGCCTTAGGTGATGTATGAGTGAAAATTCTGTGTATGATGTCTGAAATTTTGTTGCTTACAGTTTCTAATAGGATTTTTATGGTTTCATGAGTCACATTTAAGTCTTTTATCCATTTTGAGTTAATTCTTGTGTATGGTGTAAATTGATGGTCTAGTTTCATTTTTTTGCATGGAGTTGTCCAATTTTCCCAACACCATTTATTAAAGATATTTTAATTTTGTAAACATCTTCCATAGACATTACCAGATATTTATTACACAATTAAATATTGTTATTTGATTTATCTAAACTTTCACATCATTCTTTAAATACAGGTGCAATTCCAGTGTTTAACTAAGTTAAGAATTTATTTAAATGTTTAAGAAAATGTATCAGGTTAAAACTTTAATAATTTACTGTGAAGATAAAGACTAGTAATTAGATTTCTACTTCTCATTTTTTTCCTTTACATATTACCATCTCTTCCTAAAGGTCACCTTTCTTTCTTATTTGAGAAAATTTGCATACTGACATTTTACCTTTTCTATTTATTCGTGAACTGCTGGTGTGCAAAACATAAATAAATAATACAAAACTGACCATCTGTCAGATTATTACAAGTACTAAAAGTGGATATGAAAATGTAAAGATCATCTAATTATATTGTGTTAGAATTATCTCTGACAAAGTTGTTTCCACCTTATTCTACTATGTACTTTTAAGCAGAATGCACAAAAATCAATCAATATAAATAATGCATCTTAAAAGTCATGTTTTATATACTTAAGCTTTAATTCAACATTTAATGACTTTTCGTTGCCTTTACAATTACCAAAAGTCAGTCTGTTAATAAAATATGTGAACAGATGTTCTCCTCTTGACCTATATTGAGTTTGAGAATCCATTTACCTAAAATTCTTTGAATTCCAAAAGTGATGGTGGATTTGAAAAGAGATTTAGGAGTCAGAGGAGGAGCGGCGCAGTTGGGAAGGTCACTGCGGGCTTCCTTGCCTCAGCCAGATTCTGCAGCCTGCAGACCGAGTCCTGGCATCACGGCACTCAGTTCCTCCCCACGCTCTCTACGTCGGAGAAGTTGCCTTATTTCTCCAGAGCAGCGGTTCTCAAGTTGTGGGTCGCAAACCCTTTGGGGATCCAAAGACCCTTTGACAAGGGTCACCTAAGACCATTGGAAAACACATATTTCCAATGGTCTGAGGAACCAAGACACCGCTCCTCTATCCATCTCCAGGCAGGTCCGCCCTCATGCAGATACACCCACGTACAGCATGAGGAACTGTATTAAAGGGTCGGGGCATTAGGAAGGTTAGAACCACTGCTTTAGAGGCTCTTATTGGTAGAAACACTAGATGCTGAGTTTATAAATTAAGAGACCCTGTGACTCTTAAAACCTATGAATTATAATAATTTTTCCTTGAGAAATCTTGAAAGTAAACTGTATTTTTTTTTGTTTGTTTTGCTTTTTACTCTCTAGAAGATGTTGAAGATGTTCCAGCTTCAAAGAAAGCTAAAGGTGACTTTATTATCTTAAGTTCACTTATGAATTTTTTCTCAAGATGGTAATATTTCAACTGCCTATTTCATTGAACTATTCTTAGCCTAGCCCTTACCTTTTCCTGCAATGTTTATACGGTAGATGTGTTTATTAAACAAACACATTTTTCCATTGTGTGTGTGTGTCTTCATGTGTTGATGTTACCAGTTAGACACTGATTTATTTACAAGTAACTATTACAAGTAACTAATAATTACTACAAGTGGTTATTAGATGAAATAATGTTCATTTATTGGCAATATTTGAAAATTATCATATCACCAAGGATTAAGAAGATGTTATTTGACAGCAGGAGGAGCACATAATTATTCAAATATGAGTTTGACATACTTTTATTTTTAAAAATTAAGATAACTTACCTATAATAGCAGCAATAGCATAAAGGGAAAAGGGAAGGAAGGAAAAAATGAAGGAAGGAAGGGAGGAAGAAAGGAAGAAAGGACCTCAAACCTCAGAAAAATCTGCTGTAACCAGATAAATGATCTTGAGTCAGTCTTCCTAGGACTGAATTCCTTAATCTTTATTGCAAGGGTTTCAACTAATTTAATGCATTTTTTCTCTGAAGAGTTTTCTGGCTTCTTAGTTTGGCTTATTATATAACAAATAGTTGCTATTCTATTTCTAAACTTGCCTGTGGACAATAAGAATTTTCCTAAGAGTTGTTCTTAGCATGAAAATGTAGGTTCTGTGGCAGTGCCCAGAATTAATTAACAGTGTAGAAAATAGTGCTTTGAGAACAGATAAAAGAAATTGGTACCCAAGTCTTCTGAAAAATGAGTTATACTTTTCTTAAAATACATTTTAAATACTGAATTTTTAGATTTTTTAAACAAATGAATTATTAAGCACAACTCTTAGTATGTTTTTGACTTCTGAACCATTGTTTCTCAGACTATTTTATACACGAATCCCCTGACAATCTTGTTAAAATAAAATAAGTCTGAGTTAGTACCTAAGAAATACATTTATATCAATTTCCTAATAATGGTGGGTCTACTGCTACATGGACCACACCTTGAGAAGGAAGGTTCTCGAATCCATTTAGAATTTGATAAAATCTAAAACCGAACTTTGGATGAAACACACACACATACATGCATGTACTCACATCTTAACATTTAAACATTTCAGAGTTTTACAGCAACCCCACCCTCCAAAGCCCATCTATGGAGACCAGTTAAGAACTTCTGACCAGAACAAAGAGGTTCACATGACTAGCTTCAAATTATCCATCTCTAGATAAACACATGGTGCATATCACAACTGCAAAAAAAAAAAAAAAAAGTCCCCGTGTCAGGTAACTAAAGGAAGGGATCTACTGCTATTCTCTCATGGAGAGGATGATCACTAAAGACTATAGCTTTCCCAAAATTAGAATTATTTTTACTACAGTGGTCATCTTATAACCAGATTCTACCCTTACCATACTACAACTGAGCATGAAAGTTCTTTGTTAAGGAAGAAATGTGTGTCTGCTAGCCTTCACCCACCAATATCCAACACATCAGGAAGTTTCCTATTTGAACAATTGCCTGTAGCATGCTACATTCTTTAATTTTCATTGGCTCCTATTAAATTTTATAGTGAAAGATTGAACAGAATCTGAATAAGAACCTAGAGTATATTATAAAGAGGGCAAGGAGTTCCTGTTTCTTTCACACCTGTACAGACACTTTCAGTCCCTTACCTACTTGTTGTATAACAGCTGTAAATGTAAAAGTTATTTACTTTCTTATTTTGTATCCACTAGAAGAAGCTGAAGATGTGTCTTCCACACAGAAGCAAAAAAGTAAGTTTATAATTAGATTAAAACTGTTAAGTGGATCTATAGTGAAGACAGTACATATAAATTGAAAGTAAACCCTCTGAAGACCAGTATCAGAATAAAAAGATTTTCAGCAGACATGAAGGATAACATTAAAGCAGGTCATTTATATTTCCAAGAGATGTCCATCACTTTCGTGGCAGGCAAGAGACACGTATTTGGAAGAATTACAAAGCCATGACTGAAGTGGCGTTTATCGCAAACCATTCCACACAGCTGTGATCCTGAGCACTGCAGCTGAATCTGTGCTTAGATGTGTCACTGTTTGCTTTATAATAAGACAGCTGAAGTGATATGCTAAACTTTTTAATATCAAAAAGAAAAAAATGTAGGTGTAGGTCATTGATTGAAAGTTCTTCTTTATTTTTCTAGATATATGGTAGACTCTTAATATTCCATTTTTGGGATTGTTGATTTTAGAATGCAATTAATGTTCACATGCAGCTACAAAATTCAATGCCCATGATTTTCATTATTCCACTACTTCCAAATTAGACACTTTTCTTCAGATAGCAAAGCAATACCATCTGAATATCAATTTTGGGTTCAGATATGCATTAAAATTGTTGCTGAACAGAATAAAAGAAGCAATTTTAAAAATAGGTATAACAAGTTTGTTTTACATAATGCTTTTAAAGTAAAGAACAGACATTTATCTGAGGAAATGATGACAATGTTCTCTGGGTTCTACAATGCTTCCTAAATGTATTTCTGCAGGAAATGATAAAAATGCCCTCTACCTTAGCAAATGCCTCTTACTCTGTGTTAGTATGTGATTCATTGAACAAATACTAAGTGCCTACTGTTTCCCAAACTCCATTTAGATATTAGAGAGACTCATTATACTCCCTCAAATTATCAGGATGCAAGAAATACAAGGAAACAAGCAATCATAACAATACATTTAGACATTGTTATAAAATCTATAAAGTCAGTCTGGGCATGTTTCTGATTTATACAGAAACATTTTCCAAATTGTTTACATACTGGTAACAATTTGTGGTTATATCATATAAATACTTAAAATCTCTTGTCTTATAAATAAATATTAAAACATAATTCAATAAGATAGGTAGATGGTATCAATGTTAATTTCCTGGTTGGAATATTGCACTATAATTTTGCAAGGATATTATCATTGGGGGAAACTGAATGAAGGATACATGGGATCCTTCTGCATTATCTCTTATAATTGTACATGACCCTACAATGATCTCAAAAAAAAAAAGTTTAATTAAAAATAAATAAACAATTCAATATTTTTAGTAAAAACGTCTGACATTTAATTCAATTGGCAGACTTACTATAGCAAAACAATATTTCCTATTTTCAACTTACTATGAAGTAGTCCTATAGTCTGATATTCATGCACTTTTATTTAAGTTCTAAAATTTACACCTATAGCGATGCTCTTATTGATAGCCTATTCAACACTAATTAAATAAATGGGTCAGAACAGAAGCTACTTCTGGTAAGTTTCATCTGGAAGGTAGGCTGTCTTTGATGGACACTTCTTTTTTTGGTAATGGTGTTCCCCTTCCTCCTTTATACAGTCCTAGCTTTACTGTTATTCCTCTTGGCAGCCTATCCCCCAAACCGCTACAACCTTGTGGGTGGGGGCAAGTTGTGATATTGCATCTGTTTGGTACTACACCAAAATGGCAAAAAATTCTGCATGAGATGAAGTAGAAAGAATTTTTTTTTCCTTTTATGATTTCTCCAGACTATTTTCATTATTGAAAACCCAGGAACTGAAATCAGTTGCCACCCAGGGTAATCAGAATAATTACTACTGCTGCTACCCCAGTCTCCTTCTACCCAGGCTTTTGTTTATTCTTTATTTCCTTTATTTGGCCAGCTTTCTCATATTCCCCATACAACTAGCTTCACTTGTCATTCTCTTTCCTGGCTATCTGCAAAATGGCTGTGGTTGGGTGACAGAATTCAAACTGACATGATGGAAAATACTGAAGAGTCAGTAGATGTGCTTGACTGTGAAGAGGGGCTAACCTTGCCATCTCTGAACAAGCTGCTGCCAGGGAGCCCAGAGCTCCTGCCTGTAGCCACTGTGCACACCGCCTCACTGGGCTTGAACTCCTTTCCTGTGTTGCTTTCTGCTCTGACAACAGAGCACTACCTGGAGGCATTGCTTCAATGAGCAATGACAGCATCTCACATGAGGGCTTGCCTCCAGAGTAAGGGCAAGTGGAAACCCTCAAAAGTTTAGGAACCACAAGGCTCTCTGTGGTATTATTAAAACACTTGAAAAAATTAAAATACAATGTTGGTTACTTCACAAATTGATCAACTCGTGCTATGAAGCCTATGAAACAGTTGTCCTGGCTGCGGTACACATCATGAGATTTCTATAGAGTGAGCACTTGGACTTTTTATGCTAGGCCATTTTTATTATCCATTATTATCTCTTTAGTAACAGCTTCGTGGGTATTTACTTATTAATTTCCACATTTATTTGAGGTTTTTGTTGATGTCTCGATTTTACACATGAGGAATCCAAAACACGAAGAGGTGTAGCAAGCTGTCAGTCATTACCGAAGCTGTCCGGCTGCCAAAGGCATGTCTACATTGTAGGATCCCGCTTTGCTGTGCTCCACTTTGTTCTGCTTGTTTTAACTAGTCATCATGCTCTGTTCCTTAGGCCCCATCAGTTTCTTCCAGTGTGTGTACTTGAATGGTTACAACGGCTATGGATTTCAGTTTCCTGTCACTCCTGCACAGCGCCCTGGAGAGAGCTCTGGCCCACCAGGTCCTCCAGGACAGAAGCAACAAGGACAATAGACGCACATGTGCCGCCATTAAAAATGCTTGAAGACTTTGAGAATAGAATCTTTCATTTGTCCACAGTGGCACCTGCAATTGAAATAAAGGAATTTGAGGAATTTCTTTGAAATATTTTACTATTCTGCCTGGTGTAGAAAAAAGAAAAATGTGGGTGAAGGGATTGAATAATAAGCAGACATGTTGGAAGGTCTGATGCCCAAGAATCTGTTATTTGTGTTTGTTGTTGGCGTGGGTGCTTATATTTTTCTATTTTCACTTACTGTAGAGTTGTGGACAAATCAGTTAATGTTTACTTAATAATTATCTTTTAAATGCAATTGACACAATTACAAAATAAAATTCCTGACTTCAATTAGATAGGTACTTTTAAAAGAAAACAGAGACTATGCTTAAGTTTAAAGAGTACAGGAACTTATATAAAAGCTACTCTTTTGCATCATGTAAGTATCTGAACTCAATTTACCAATAAGTTGATGTTTAATAGTTTAATTTTATTTATGTCTATTTTTAGTTTAGTTGTGGCTATGCTTTAAGACTGGGTTGCACCAAAGAGTGCTGAAGTTCCTTGTGATGTTGTTTTAGAGCTCAGAATATCTCTGAACTTGAGACATGACAAGAAGGAATAGAAATGTTAGATGAATCTTATCTCTAAGATGTACCTGAATTGTAATGAGGAGAATTACAATTAGGACATTCACTCTAGTGGAAATGCACCATCCAATTAGGCAGGCCTGGTGAATTATTGGTGTAAAATATAAGCAAATGAGACATAGAATTTTCAGATTTCTCCAGACTGTGCCCTGATGATAACATCACCTGGGTGAAGTTTTAGATCAATCACTAAATCTGAGTGACAGATGCAAAAGTATTTTCATTGCACTAATAGGATCCTTCTGTGGAGTTAAATCGCTCTTCTTTCTCAAAAAGGAAAAATATGAATGTCATCAAAGTGGAAGGAATTCATTTTTAAAAGAAGTACATCATGAGATGGCTTGTTATCAGTGCCAATGAAATGCATGACAATCTTTAACTTACTTGACAATGCATCATTGGGAATGACTATTGTGGCTTTTCCATCTTTTGTCTCCCAGTGACATAAATACTTGTGATCTTTATCACATTTTTCTAGTAACTCTAAACGTTATGCTACTGTGATCTTTTCATGTTTACAGTTGCAACTCAACTTATGGCAAATTAACTCAGGAAATAAATTGAGTTTTTTTTGTTGTGTTTTTTAGCGTTATACTTACCTTATGGCGAGGTAGCCAGAGCCAATACTAGCCAAGTGATTTATTTTCAAGGACTGCAACAAACTAAGTTCTTTAATTCCAAGATGTGGAACACTGTCTTACTAAAATATCATTAGGCTAGGGTATGAGTAACATGATCATTATTAATAATGGATTTTCAGTGACTTTTGTGAAAGAAGTTGGTCTTAGCCACATGCTGGTAGACCTAGCTCACACCACAAAAGCTAACATTACAATGAACCAAGATTGATGACACTCCTTAATGGGGGCCTGGAAATGTGTCCTGTCAGGACTGACCACATGGTACAGCCTCAAAACTCCTTCATGTAGCAATGGAAGTTGGTGGTAGGGCAGTGGATAGAGTTTATTGCTCAACTGCCCCTACAGCTTTTACAATTTAGTGAGTAAAAGAAATAGAGAGGAAATATAATTGTTTTTTTAATTGTATAGAACAGAATGATTTATTCATAAATTCTCATATTAAATGATTATTTATTGAGCACTTACTCTTTCTAGAGCATTGTATTGTAATAGGCACTAGAGTGTATAAGAAAAATATTAGAGACAATTTATATTACCAGTATTAACCTGATACAATGTGTGGCCTTGGAAATTTTACCAAACACACCATGCTTGTTTTCTTATGTGTAAAATAGGAATTTCAAGACCATCAACCTGATACACAGATGTACTATGAACACTGACAAAATATCTTATTATGAATATGACATCAACATTAATTTCTAAAATAATATTTTTGGATGTTTTTTCTCTGAGTGCTTTTCTACATTATATTATTGTTTCACTTTCATTATGAATTTTTTTTCATTATTTGATAAAAAGTAAAATATGATAACTTATTATATTTAGAATTTAAGCAAACCAATCATGATTAATTGTTAACAATAATTGTTAATGTTTATCTGCTTAAATTTACAATGATGATAGCACTTGAAAAATATTAACTAAACTCTCATCTGTTTGTATGGTTCCACCAAATAAAGTATTTCTGGTTCTTTCAAGTTTGTGCTTTACATTTTAAAAGAAAAAGATAAATGGTTGGACAAAACTCTTTGCTTTCAATAGCCATCCCATAATTCATGTCATATAGGTCACGATATATAAGCACTTAATAATTCTGTTAGTTCTCCATTTCGTCCAAGTGATATGAGCTGCATAGACAGACCCTCCCCCTCCCCCACACTTCACCTCCTCTTAATAGATGAAGGTCTGTAGAAAATAAATAACTACCTAAAGTTTTTATTTATGTTTAGTTTTTATAAAGTCTGATAAATTATTCAAATAGGGTAAAGCTTTTTTTGAAACAATGACCTTGAAGAGCATCTGTATACTGATTCATTCTGGTATATCCTTGTTAAAACTCTTCATAGAAATGTCTTGGAAACTGAGATTATATATCTAAGGACTTAGATTGTCCTTGAGTTATTTCATTAGGAAAAAAGGCAAGAAAACAAGGAATATTATTGCCAATAGAAAATTCAGGGACCTCTAGCTCAACTGCATTTACAGAAAATGAACCTAATCCCCAGAGAAATGCATAAATTTGTCAAAGTCGCCAATTGCATCAAAGCCAGGCCTAGAACATTTGTCTGCTAGCTCTCAAATGCCCTTAAAATTATACTCTCTGTGTGTTATTACATACTTTGGCTAATTTATCCAGCATCTCGAAATTTTGAATTTTTTGAATTTTGTAATTTTTTGAATTACAATCAGTGTCAGAAATGTAACCCTATGTGAAAAGACTTGATTTTATTTATTTGTTTGTTTTATTTATTTGTTTGTTTCTTGAGAGCTAAAAAGGGCCTTAAGAGTGAGCTATATTCACTTGCTTTTAGAGATAAAACATGAATCTCAGAGAGGTTAGGTGACATGCCCAGAGTCAAATTCCTAGTTAGTAACAAATCTAGATTGAGAACTCAAATCTGTTTTCTAATCTGTATATTCCCTACCCCCTGCAACTGCATGTGATGTCTCCACCATCATAAGCTTCCCTCTGTAGTTTGCAAGCTCATGAACACGTAGAAAGTCAGCACAACATTCTAGGAACTGACCCTCTGACTCTTTGTTGTACTCCTTTCAGGACAATGCTGCTACCCTGGACCTTTCCTCTCATTAATCCTTTAGGTCCATAAAACATGCTACAGATACTTTTCTTTGTATACAAAATTAAATAGCTTTATTTTTTCATATTATTCAACTGTAACTAATGCCATTAAGTCACTGAAAGACCCCAAATATTTGTCCAAATACAAAGAAAACACACAACACCTCTAACTTAATCACAACACATCCAAAGACATGGGTTAATAAAATAAGTTAGAAGAACAGATGCTTACAAAAGCACATTTAGACTTTAAAGGAAAGCTCAGAGTAAATAATGAAGAGAATTAGTGTATATTATTATTTAAGAGGCATGCAATTCCAGAAAGAAGCACACGTTAGTAAAATAGTAATAGCAAAGAAAGAAAGTTTTGGTTTCCTACACAGCCACGTTAAGCTCCAGCCACATGCCCTCTGCAAGACTGTCAATTCCTATGTCTATAATCTGTGTTGAACTTGTAGTGAGAACTAACTGCTTGCATCAAATCATATTACTTTTTTTCCCTACCACAGCCAAAGCTCTCCCAAATAACTTAATATAAAGGTCAGGCTTATACTTCATACCTCTAAGTAGAGTTGCAAGGTGTTTTCAAATGTGTTTTCAGGACAAGTATGCTGTGGCGGTAAGCTCAGTGGACTAGGGTCCCTCAAACCAAAGGTCAGACTCTAATTCTAGGAGTATGTAGCCCTGGTCATTTAGAGGGAGTCTGTTCTTGGCTCTTTATCTCTAAATGAAAATAAATGTTTCTGTGGCAAAAGTTCATTTTGGTGAGAAAAATTATGGGAAATTACCTTGTAAGGTGATGTTATTGTTAAGATCTTTCAAATTCCCTTCTGGTTTTGTTATTAAATGATCCCACTGTGCCATGCACTGAAGACCTAATGTTGCTAAGTGGCATAAGTCAAAGCAGCAAATGGAAGTCAGACCTGTTTGAGCCAAACACAAACATGAGAACATGGCCTGTAACAAAAACAATCTGTGTCATTTTCGTGGAGCTCCTATAAATCAATGACAGATATCCATCAAACCACTGAATCAGAATACACAGAGTTTGTAAGATGCCTGTGGAAAGTACTACTCTGAATTTGAAGCTGAAATGGAATGCCAAGTGGCTCATGTACCTCAAGACACTGTCACAGAATTGAACATTCACTAAAAGGTCTAAAGGTGTTTCAGCAAAGTAAGTGAAGATAGTGTTGAAATAAATAGCAATGATAGTATCTCAAAACATTTAGCCTATGTTTTTGCTTAGGAAAGAAGCATCTCTCCCTCTCTCTCCCTTCTTCTTTCTAAAATAATAAAAAAAAAATACTTAAAAAATTTTTTGTTACCTTATATTAAATAATTTAAATGATGTGTTCCTCATTTTAATCTTTAAAGTAACAACACCTTGTTTTTAATTGGCCACAAATTAAAGATTTTTTTCTTAAATAAATTTTTGCAGTAGGCAAAGTATAAGGATGATAACTATGCTATCTAATAATCTACTTATGATGAAAGTTAAAGTTTTCTAAAACTCATTACAAAATCAGGAAATGTTCTATCAAGGTTTACAAAATAAGTTCTCTTTTGAAATGATATTTCATACTGATTTTTATTGGCTTTGATAAAAAAAAATTAGTGTGATTAAGGTAAAAGAAATAGGTTTAAACTTTACATGATAGTAATATTTCTGTATCCTTTACAAGCTACAGAGGAAGACAGCATGGCTATTTTACTTTTACTTCCATCCTTCCTATTTTCTTAGAGAAAAGAAAAAGATCATATATATGTCTTGTATATCTGTCATCTTGATTTCTAACCTATCTTTGGCTCTTCTAGAAGGAATTGCCTTCCAATGACATTGTATACGTTTTCTCAAAAGAGTAACTTTTGCTTTTTAAAAATCAACTTTATTGAGATATAATATACATACAATATAGCACACTCTTTAAAAGCACAGCTCAAGCCCAGCTGATATGGCTCAGTGGCTGAGCGTAGACCCATGCACCAAGAGGTCACCAGTTTGATTTCCGGTCAGGGTACATGCCTAGGTTGTAAGCTAAATCCCCAGTGAGGGGCGTGCAGGAGGTGTCCAATTGATGTTCTCTCTCATCTATGTTTCTATCTCTCCCTTTCCTTTTCTCTATCTCTCTCTCTCTAATATCAATAAAGAAAAGTACAGCTCAAATGTATACACTAGTATAACCACCTCCATACTCAAGATAAAGAACATCAACATTATTCAAAAAAACAGTCTTTCAAGCCTCTTTGTTGTGAAATATCTGCCTATCTTTAGCTTCTAGTAAAGATGTTCTATTTCTGTCACTATAGTTGAGTTTTGCCTTTTCTAGAAATTCATATACATAGAATCATACGGTGCATTCAAGAATGTCCTGACATAATTTTTTATCATAGTTTTAAAACTATGCACAGAGTCTCACAGGGAGACTGGAGAATTCACAGGACCATCACATATTTTAGATTTTTGAGGGAAAAGTGGTGTCCACAAAAAACTATCTGGACTACTAGTTTGAAGTAATGCACAATTTCAACATTAAATTGTGTCAGATTCCTATTGATAACACCAAATCTTTGTGAGGTTGGATTTATAGCTGTGATAAAAAAGTAAGTACTGCCCTGGTCGGTGTAGCTCAGTTGGTTGGAGTGTTGTCCCATGCACCAAAGATTCCTGGGTTTGATTCCCGGTCAGAGTGTACACTCAGGTTGCAGGTTTGATCCCCACTTGGGGTGCATATGGAGGCAACTGATAGATGCTTCTCTCTCACATCAATGTTTCTCTTTCTCCCTCTCTCTCTCTCTAAAATGAATAAAAACATGTTCTTGTGTGAGGAGAAAAAGGTAAGTACTGCATGATACTTTATTTAGAAAAGTCAGTGAGGATGGTGGGGTCCAATCTGATTCTGTTATAAAAAGTTATGCAGTGCCAACAGGTACATAAATTCAATCAGTAAATAATTGTGTTTTTAAAAGAGTGAAATAAAAATATTATTTTTCTTTTGATGAATGTATATAATTTTTCAAACACCACTAAATTGTTAGCACTTAAATACTTATGAATCATTTCTATCTACATAATCAAACCTTTATGTATTTCTTTTGACCTAAGACCATGAATAAATGACAGACAATACTGGCTCTGTGACATAAGAAAGTTAGGAAATGTTTAGTTTTTGTGATTGTTCCATAGTATTTCACCAGTAGTCCATTCATTTTCATTGCAATATTCCATTGTTTAACTTTACTGCAACCTGTTTATCCATTCATTTTTCTTTATATTTAAAAGAAAGAAAGAAAAAACAGCCAACACATTTCCAGCTTTTATTATTTTTCCTCTATCTGAAGAACTTTCTTCTTCTTTTTTTAATGGATTTTTTAAGGGAAAGAGAGAGAAACATTGAGGTGAGAGAGAAACATCGATCAACTGCCTCCTGTATGTCTCCTACTGGTGACAGAGCCCACAACCCAGGCACGTGCCCTGACTGGAAATGGAACTAGGACCTCCCAGTCCATGGGTCGATGCTCAATCCACTGAGCCACATCAGCCAAGCTGAAGAATTTTGTTTAGGTGTTAATCACTGGCAACAAATCCTCTTAGATTTTATTTGTTTAAAAAATTCTTTGCTCTGCCTTATGATATAAGAAATTTAGTCACTGAACATAAAATTTCAATTTGTTTTTTTTTAGTGTTTAATT